AATTGAGGGATAAAAAGGAGGAGTATGAAGCTATGGCTTCAAGTCATGGTATTGTTAATACGAATGCCATCAAAAATCAAGTTATTAATAAAGTTTTGGGTCCTGAAAGATATGGTCGGGTTCGCTGTCAAGGATCATTCGTTACCCCCACCAAATATTTTGGATCCAGTACATGTCATCACAGAGTCGATCTTCCCAATTAGAAGTTAGTCATTTAAAATAACAGTTAGCTGAAATTGATTAAAAAAAATGGCTCACGTGAAAGCCTAAAATGAAGCGAGGGAGGCAGAGAAAAGTAGCATATCAGCAAAAATGTCAAGAATTTGAAAATCAACTTGAAGTTATAACGCAGATGATACGAAAAAAATCAACCTCAGACTCCACCATATTAGGTCTTATTTTAGATATATGCTTTGTTCATTCTAGTTAACAATGTTGAACTGCATTCTATTTTACGTTAATGTAAAGTTTGATTTATTATAATGGATTTAAAGTTAGTTGTTATGGATTTAAAGTTAGTTGTTATGGATTTAAAGTTTGTTGTTACGAATGTCATGTTTATTGGATAATGTTACAAGCTAAAAGTTTAAATTTGGGTAACAAAAGATCAAAAACACCGTTGGCAAAATTTGTGTTAATTAGCGGCGTTTGTATAACAAATGCTAGTAAATACATAATCAATACCGACATTTTAGGAAGAAAACACCACTAAAGTTCTAGATCATTTGTGACATTTATACAAAAAAACTCCACTATATACATAGTTAATAGTGGCGTTTTAATTTATAAATGTTGTTATATGTCATGACCTTTACCGACGTTTTTGGGAACAAACGTAACTATATGTCATAACATTTAGCGGCGGTTTTTTACAAATGCCACAAAATAAAAGATATATAACGGCGTTTTTTAATAACGCTGCTAAATATCATAACCTTTAGCAGCGTTTATGGAAACAACGCCGCTAAATCTCATAACCTTTAGTGGCATTTGTAGACAAAAATGCCACTACCTTTTGCGGCGTTGGTTAAGCGGTAATTTGGTTGCGTTTTTTTGCCACAAGGGTTTTTAGCGGCGCTTAAAAACGCCGCTATATGACTGAAAAATGCCGCTAAAAACATATTTTGCCATAAAGTTTGACATAAATTTTAGAAATATAATGAATAAATTTTAGAAATATATTTTTAACATAAAATATTTTCTTTCATTTACATTATCAGTATAATAAAGTTTGATTAATTTTTAAAAACATAACAATCAACTGTATTTTTACACTACATTTTTCATTTTCAGACTAATAAAACTTAGAGTAAACTATTTATTTGGCCATCCATCCATCCATCCATTTATTATTTAGTTTTTATTTTGATCACTCAACTATTATATTTTTTCAAAATCATATCTAACATTACATTTTAGTTTTGTTTTTGTCACATATCATTAAAAAAATTATCAGTGATATTGATGTGATATTTTCAATTATTTTTTAATATTGATGTGACATTATCTTATGATGACACATCTGCATCACTATTAATTTTTTTTATAGAGGTTGTCCAAACGGAACTAAAACATAACTTTAAGTATAATTTTGAAAAAGAATAATAGTTGGATGACCAAAACAAAAACTAAGTAATAAGTGGATGACCAAATAGATAGTTTACCCTCAAATTTATATGAACTAATTTGATAAAATTTAATTATTAAATACAATTAATTATACATTAGACGGATAAAAAACTAATTAAATAAAAAGTAAACATGTGCAATATGAAATAATAGAAATCAATAATTCAGCAATTTATCAATCTCAAATTAAAAAATTCTACGGTGACACACTGAAACACACAAGTAACTAAATTAAAATAGAGTAAAATTACAAATGATCATTAAACTATGATAAAATAATTTTTTAATCATTCAACTTTTTAAAAGTTATAAAATAAACTTTAGATTATGTTAAAAAATATAAATAATAATTAATTATCATTAAACGATAATGTGACATTTTAAATTAATAAAAAATATCTTCTTTGGCCCTTTTATTATGACTAAAATTTTCTTTTGATATTTTTTCAATATTTTTAAGTAAGGATTTAAAAAAAAAAAATTATTTTTTAAAAATATATTGAATTTCATAATTTATTTTTGAAACTGGAAATATATTTTTAAATTATATTTAAATTTATTTAACGAAAGTTAAATAATTAAATTACATTGCTTAAACAAAATTCCTCACTTTCAGATAATTGAAATTGTTGGATCCAAAAATATAAATTATAAATTATACAAATTTAATCATAACTAAATAAAAAATATTCATAAAATAATTTGATGAATTAACATATTCATAAAGATTTAATTTTAAAAAATATTTTATAATTTTAAAAATAAATTATGAATTTTTATTATTTTTTAGGAAATGTATATTTTTAGAATAGTTACTTAGAAATGTTGAAAAATATAAAAAAATAAACTTTATTTATAATATTATTTTTATTAATTTGATATATCACTTTTTTATTTTTTTATTTTTTTTGTTTACATGGGATGAACAGTGAGATCAAACTAGCTCTTCTGAGAGGCGGTGGTCGCCTCCTTCACCGTCCTTGTTTACTACTTCTCGCCCTCCTACGAACACTTCTCTCTAGTTTCCAAAAGCCAACACAGTGACGTAGAGTCCTTCTTTATGTCCTCTGATTAAAGGTTTGGTCGGTCCGCTCTGGTATTGTTGGGATATAGGGTCGTTTGGCTTTTGTCCCCAATTTTGCTACTCGATGGATTGGGTGTTTTTTTATAGCTTGGTGAGATCGTTTAATTCTCTACATACTGCGATTTTATTCCTGTTCCTTATTGTTTGTTGTTTCGTGCTTGAGATCTGGTTTAAGTATGAAACTAGATTCAAGGTTTTAAGATACTATGTGAGTTTTTTAGTCGGTTTCTGGAGTCAGTCTACGATAACTAAAACTGCATGCAAGGTGTTTGTGTAAAAGCCATAGTGATTTTATCTTTTGCTCGTTTGAAATATTTCAGTATGAGGGAGAGCGTTACTTGTCTTCCTTTGGAATCTGGTTCTTTGTATGTGGTTTTCTACCAAACACTTTTCTTTGGAAAGGTTTGGATGATTGTGGGTTCTATAGTGAGGTCATGTGAGTGTTCTTTCTCAATAAGAGGAGTCGTTTGGCTCTACTTTTGGATTCGTTTATGATGTTGAGCCTGAAAGTGAAGTTTTCAAGGTTTTAGAGTTTCCAGAACTGCTTGAGTTTGGTGCGTGTCTGTCTGGGGTAGTGGAGGTTGTAGGTTTTGTTCTTGAGATTTTGCTCGTGGTGTTCTCAAAGATGTTGCTAAGTTTTTTCTGGTGGTTTTCATCCTTTCATCGTTTACTGCCTGGGTGTTTGTGGCTGTTCAGGGGTTGTGCTTTGGTGGGTGGTGTCTGTCCTGTGCTTTGGTGGACTGTCGCGTGTGAATGTGTGCGGATGTTACAGTTTTTTGTGTTTGATGTTGCTAGTTTTATGTTCTTTGGTGTTGCTTATTGATGTTGTCCACTGTCTGATCATGTGTTGGTTTTATGCTTTATCTTTTCAATGGTCTGAATTATGTTTGATCTTTCGCAGTTTTGGGGAGTTGGGTGATATGTGTTTGCTGCTTTGTAGTTGGGTATTGAGATGGGGAGGCAGAGTCTGTGTTGTTGTTTCCTTGGCTTGGGTGTTTGTGTCCTATTGTTTTGTGTATTGCAAGAGTTGTATGGGGTCAGCTGGAACTTCATTGTGTGGGTGAGGAGTGGATGGTGTATTCTCAGTTTCGATAGGCGGGTTTAAAAGATTAGGTGTATGAGCACTCGGGCTAGCATCGTTCTGGGAAATATGGAGATTGTCAGAGATGGTGCTCTGTCTTATAGGGTCTCGTGTGCTGTCCTTTTGTGGGATATGAGGTGGTTGTCGGGTGAGTGCGTGTTCTAATCTGAGTTTTAAGGCTTTTATATTGGATTAAGGGTTGGCAAATGAGATTCCTTTTCTTAGTGTGTTGCCTTTGGTCTAGTTATGGGTGATTTTGTTGTTTAGTTTCATTCGATCTTGATGTCTGTGTATGTTCCTCAGTGTGACCTTTATTCTTATTGTCGGTTAGTCTGTGGTGGTCCTATAATGTGTTGGGCTGGGGCTTGTGGTAGGACGGGGTTCTGTCTGAATATTGTAAGAGTTTTATGTGTGTTGTTCATTACCATTTCAAGGTATACTCTTTTTCTTCCATTTAGGTTTAGGGAGGTTTTTTAATGAGGTCCTTTAGATGCTGTACTTTGTTAATCTTTTAATACAAAGTACCCACTTTCAAAAAAAAAAAAACTAGCTCTTCTGATATGATCATATGCATTACATCATCGGGGTACCAATAAGGTATACAGGCCTTGGAGAGGGTCCAAGCATATCTCGCTATTCCATCAGGCACTTTGTTGATGTCACATTTAATATTTTTAATATATCACTTGTCGTATCAATCTTATAAAAAATTAAAATTTAATATTCATTATTTAATGATTTAGTGGTCCTTGAGTTTTTTTTATGAGTGATATGTTTTGATGTGTTTTAATAATGGTGTGTTACGTTGTACGATGTGCATCAGAAATTCATCCATCTCAAATTATAATTAAATTAATTTTAAAATGGAATATATTAGAACGATTTGAATCAAAGTTTTATAAGTAATTGGAAAGTTTTTGGGTGTTTCAAACGTTAATCATGGTTTCCTTTTGCTTTTCTCTAATTTGATGCTATTCTTAAAATATAAATTTGACTGGGAATTACAATCAAATTCCAATAAAGAGAAATTTACGTTAAATTTTAATTAATTGTAAACGAAAGTCAATAGAGATTGGCTATAATAAGCATGGATACAAAATAACAAAAATTTGATGTTTATTATTACCAATTAATTCAGACGCACAAAAACCGAAAATAGGATCAAGCAAAGTCTGTATTGGTCTTATCCCATAGCTAAGGAAATGGTTAAGTGGTGACATTGGCGACGAGCTTCATTCCTTTTTTACATAGGTCGGAGACGCCGCAGATGAAGTAGCGAGGGCCAGGAGCGACAAGATTGAAGGCGGTGGAGCCACTCTTGTCGGAGGAGATTGGATGATCCACATTACAAGTATTGTAGTCATTTTCAAATACTTCATCCACTGAATACTCGCTCGAATAATCAAACACTATATTTAACAAAGATAAAATTCTATGTCAGAGAAGCAAATTTATAAATTTTAAGGTAGAACTATAACAAAAATAAAAAAAATTAAAATCAATAGTACCCGACCAATATTTTCACCTCTAATAAACATGATTTCTCACTTATCATAACATATGTACAAATTAAATAAATATATTTATATCTTCCAACAAAAATTAGAAAAAGGAGAGTGACATCTCTTGACAAACAATTGAATATATATATATAAGAAACAAGGTAAGTATTTTGAAATAGGATAAATTAAATAAAAATGTACTAACCAAGGTAATCACCAACTTTAAAGGACTTGGAAAAACCCCAGGCAGTGTAATTGGGACCAACAACCCAGCCATAGCTCTCACCGACGGTGTAAACATAAGCTTCCACCACAGCCATACAACACATCACCACCGCCACAGCAGCCATTGTCGCTCCACTCCATGACCTTCCCATTTTCTCCTCAAAATTAGCCTTTATTTTTTGTGATAGCAATTTCTTATAGTGGACCAAACCTTCTTTATATAATATTAGTATTTATTACTCTTAAATTTTGGTCCACTTATTACCATGTAAAACTTTTGGTTTTCTTTTTATCAGAAAAGGCATATTCTACATTCCATTTATGGCTTATAGTATCCAAAATTCATTACATTTTAAACGGTACACTGGAACATGTAACGGTTTAATTTTAGGAGATGTTTGATGTTTTTTTTATATTATTTCAATAAAGATTGATTTTCTAGAATATTTTCGTTGAAGAATCTTCTAATGCCCCAAATATCGAATTAGTGACTTTATTGAAAAATTTTAAAATTTGAGGATTTATTTGATTAAATGATAAAATATGAGAAATGATTTAGATTAGTGGTTTAGACTAAATTGTAGCAATGGATAAGTAAAAGGGCCATTTTAATCTTTTAAAGGAGAATGAATTTAAAATTCATTTTCTTTTGTGAGTATTAAAGTAAAGAAAAAGGAGAATTTAAGGGAACCAAAAAGTTATATCTCTTTTCTTCTTCTTTCCCGTGCAAAAAGCCCTCCTCCATAGCAAAGGTAAAGTTTGATTTGGTTAGTTTGTTCTTTCGTTTTTAGCTAGTTTTTGATGTATGGAGTATGATAGAAACTTACGGAATGATTAAATGGGATCAAAACTAAGAGATAAATTAGATATTTGAGATTGAAGAAAATGAGTTTTTGAGTGTTTTGTTAGAATATGAGTTTTTCTGATATTTATTAGTATATTTGACTTTTCAAATATGTAAATAAGAGATTAGAAGCATTGGATGGGTTTAAAAACAAGTTAGAAAAAATGGTGTGATTCTTAGATTTAAATGTTCTTGGGAGTGTTTAGATGTTTTAAGAAGCTAAATGAAAGAAAGTTAGTAGGGATAAGTAATGAAGAGTTTAATAGTATTGTGGGGTGTAAACATAAGCAAATGTGACCAAATTTGGGTAACAATCGGTCTGAAAAATAGAAAATCTGGGTAACGGTATCGGTTCTGATAGAACAGTATCGATACTATAGACTTAAAATTGGAGGAATCAGCCGAGCAGCATCGATACTTATGCAAACAATATCGACACCAATTTGGGGGTATCGATACTATGAGGAAGGTATCGATATCATTGGTAACATAATACAAAAATGGTATTGATATCGTAATAGAGTATCAGCACCATAGTATAGTAGCATCGATACCATGGTAAGGGTATCGATACTATAGAGCCTGAAATTTTAAGATAGGCTGATATTGTTATAGAAAATTTAATAATATGTACTCTTGAGTATTGTTTAAGTATAATTGTTAGGAAATATCCTAACAATTAATATTGTACATGTCTTTAATGGATGCTTAGTAGATAGTAATCAAGTTCTCGAATCAAGCAAAGCAAAAGGCAAAGGAAAAAACCGGAGTAATCATCTTTGCGTTTTGGGTACAATAGCGAGGTAGGCCAGGTGAGTGCATTTATTATGTACACATATGTTATAATAGTCATAGATGTATGATTTCTTAATACTTGTATGGTGATTACCAAATAGGCACTAAGTGTGCAATTCACGAAATTCATCATATGTTGATGAATACCCGTTTCGGCACTAAGTGTGCAATTCACGGAATTCATCTTATGTTGATGAATAACCGTTTCAGCACTAAGTGTGCAATTCACGGAATTCATCATATGTTGAGGAATAACCATTTCGGCACTAAGTGTGCAATTCAAAAAATTCATCATATGTTGATGAATAACCGTTTCAGCACTAAGTGTTCAATTCACGGAATTCATCATATGTTGATGAATAATTGTTTCTACATTAAGTGTGCAATTCATGGAATTCATCATATGTTGATGAATAATCGTTTTGGCACTAAGTGTGCAACTCACGGAATTCATCATATGTTGATGAATAACTGTTTCGACACTAAGTGTGCAATTCACAAAATTCATCATATGTTGATGAATAACCGTTTCAACACTATGTGTTCAACCCACAGAATTTATAATATATTTATGAATGACCGTATAGGCACTACGTGTACATCGTAACGAAATGATATTAACTTGGAAATAATGAATTGGTATTTGATCAATATGAAAGAATGATATGATGGTTTCATTGTACTATCATTCTTGACTCACTAAGTAAATACTTAACGTGTGCTTATTTCACGCGTATGTTAAAATACAAGAGGAGTAAAGAGATCATCAGACATCAAAGCAAGTTTCGCCTCATCAGTAACAGTATGACATTCATGTCTACTTTTGATGTATTTTAGTTGGCATGTAATAGATTTAGTAAAAACGCTCTAAAAAGCATTAGATTTAACATGATGTAAAACAGTTAAGTATTTGAACATTTCTTTTTATTTATCTATTTAAGTAATGCATGTTTTATTATTAGTAAGTTAAAATTTGTAAGCACCATTTTTATTTTTTATATCTTACCATTACTAAACCTAACCCACAACCACTCCATGCTTCTTACACATCATTTTGTTTTATTTCAAAACCCATCTTTTGCCCGTGCCTTTCCCCTCACGTAAAGCATCATAATTGAGTATACCAATACCCCACTATCCATTAGTTCCCATACTCCCACTCACTCATGCATATCTTGCAGCACGCCAAGCAAAGGGAGATTAGTTTAATTTTCCTCTACCAATAATGGGGAGCAGCATATTATGGGGGGATGAAAAAAATATATTAAAGAAGCAAACACTGATCAAAGAGGGGAGGCTCTCGGTAATTAAAAGTGGGCTACTATTCGATGAGAGGGTAGTAGAAAATCATCAGAAGCACGAGAGGAACCGGAGCCACCGAATGAAGAAACCACCGTCGAGCCACTGCTGAGTCACCAACGAGCCACCAATGGTCATTGATGTCATCACCTATGCCAAATATCACTCAAGCAACCACAAAATCATATCATCCAAATTAGTCATCCACTACAAACCCAATAAACCAAATCAAATCCTGGAAAATGGGTATGTTACCCTACCATTATTCAGACACTAGTGGAATGACCACTATTCGGCAAATATAAATACACCAGGGGGCTCTCGACGATGGGAGGGGAATTCGAACAACCAGAGAAGTAAAATCACAAAAAACAAATTGTAAACAAAGGGTCTTCATCCCTTCATGTTTTTTTCGAAAAAAATAGAAATAAATGGTAATGATTTGAGGTATTTTCCATTTCATTTTTCAATTCCTAGCATGTTATGCATACGTTAGCGTTTCAAAAATAAATAGAAAATAGAGAGAGATTCATTTACCTTGTTGTATTTGGATCGTCACCGGAGGTTGGAAAGCGTTGTGATTTTTTTTAAATCCTAGCATGTCATTTAATTAGTGTATTTCTCATCTGTCGGGTTTTCAAAATATCAAAACGGAAATGGATGGGAGTTAGGTTACCTTAGTGTTGAGAGCTCTCATGACCTAGTCCTCGGGGTTGAGAGGCTAAGTAATCAAATGGATAGGTACCAAAACAGTAGGTTTTGGGTTAGATTCTAGATCTGAGCAGGAGCCTCAGTCAAGAGAGAAAATAAAAATTTAGGGGTTATTTTTAGATTTTAAGGTTTGAATCATAATAAAGAGGAAAGGGGTCGGTTTCATTTCCTGGTTTAGTTGGTGTTCTTGCCGGCGCTTGGAGCTTCGAAATTCTCAGTTGGAGAAGAAAGGGAAAGTTTTGAGTGGGACTTACCTTGCAGATGCGGTAGGAAGTCAGAGCGAAAGGGAACCACTGAGAGTGTTGTCGGAGCCGTAGAGTAGCGCCGTGCGGTGGCCAAGGTTTGGAGTGGCCTTTGTTCATATGCCATCGAAGAAGAAGAAAAGGGAGGCTTAGGAGAGAGAGAAATGGTTGTGTGTAAGTTTAGGTGTAAATATAGCCTAGGTTTAGTTTAAAATTAAGTTTTCTATTAAAAATTTAGAGTAAATTAATGTTCAGTCATCACGATCTCCTCAAGTTCATTTTAGTCCCTAGGCTGAGTTTTCAAGTTTATAATTTTGTTTCTTCATTTCATGCACATTTAATTTCAATCTAATGCATGTTTAGGGATTTATTTTTGATTTCAATATTAGTAATCATGTTCATTTATAATTTAATCCTTTGCATTTTGACGTGTCATTATTCATTTTCTTTTGTGGTTTTCATGTGATTTAAGATGCTTAAAATACATTTAAATACATATAGTGCATATAGTTTATTTCGTGTTTACTAATTAGTGTACATGTATATCATATTATAATTAATATATGTGTAAATCTATATTTATTTAGGGATTTTTTATATTATATATATATATAAATGCTTGTTGTACAAATGATACCTTATGTCTTGTATTACGTATAATACACTAATTATGCGTGCTAAAGTGGTTTTACATTTAATATTATATATACAATATTATTATATATATGTTTTGTATGGAATCATTAAATGTTCTCCACATGTAATATATTAATTATGTGTGCTAAAGTGGCTTTGCATTTAATATTATATATACAATCTTATATATATATATATATATATATATATATATATATGTTTTGTATGGAAGCATTAAATGTTTTGATATATGTGTTACCCCATGATTAGGGTTTTATTTAATTAGTTGTTATATTATTTTGCATATTGATATGTTTACATATGTGCAAGTATACAAGTGATTAATTTACAAATCGTATAACATTTTTTACATCAATGGTATGATATCCTCATGTGCATAACTTGACATCGTTACATAATTGGATTAAGGGTAATATCTTTTTAAGTTAAAATTATTTTGAGTGGATTGTATTTTAGGGATTCGCTTTTAGCGATTTTAAATTAAAAGTGTATTCCATCAGTGACACCTAAAAAAATTGATTCGTCACCTTAAAATTTGGGGAATGGAAGAAAAAAAAGAGAAATGTTAGGCTATTAA